TCCAGCTTTTTTTCTTTTTTTTTTTTTTTTTTTTTTTTTGTTTTTTTTTGAACAAAGGCACATGGTTGAATGTCTCAGTTTTCTTTTCTTTGGTGTGAAGGGGAAATGGGAAAAGACCAGAAGACTTATGCTTAATGTAGAAATCGACTCGCCTTTCAGACTAACCTGCAAACATTTATTAGGCACCTAAAATGTAAAAGCAGTTTTATGCAGTAAAGAACGAAGACTTGGGCCTGGACAGATGCCCTTGTAGAAGTCCCCAGGACTACATTGGTTGACTCACAACTGCCTGTAATTCTAGTTTCAGGAGATCCAGTGCTTCCTCTGGCCTCTGAGGATATACACACATGCACACCCACTCACGCTCACACACAACAAAACTTTCAGCAAGTTTGACTGGCCTCCAAAGAGAATAGCAACAGCCATAACCAGGCTCTTAGAGACTATAACAAATATTCAAAAATCTAATGGTAGCAAGTGACAGAGATACAGTCACTATGTGGGAAAACAGAGCTAGAAAATGTCTTCTGTGACTCTAAGCAGAGTCAGCTGGCTTGTTCTTGACTGAACTCACAGCCATGCTCCCAACCTGAGAAAGGCAGCCTTCCTGCTCTATCCTTAGCTTTCTGCACACTTAGCAGAGAGCTTGCTTACTTGTCTCCAGGGACTGTATATCTTGAAGATTGTCTCAGGAGCCCGGATCTGACCTTACTGTGAAGAGAACGAGGTTGCTTATGTAGGTGCCAAGTTTAGTAAAAATGTATTATTTCAGACGGGCAACTTGTGGACCATTGTAGGCTAATTAGAGATCTTTGCTGTAAAGATCCTTTCTAAGAATTTGACTTCTAGTTTACTGCTTACTGGCTTGCTCAGCCTGCTTTCTGATAGAACCTAGGACCAACATCCCAGGGTGGCACCATTCGTATCAATTGTCCGTCAAGAAAATGTGCCCACAGGCCAATCTGATGGGAACACTTCCTCAGCTAAAATCCCCCTCTTCCCAAAATGACATAAAAACTAGCAAGCCTAAGTATTAAAAACTTGGCAAGAGTCAGAGCTTTTCCCTGTTGTCTTTTTCAGGCTTCTGGTTCTTATGTTTTTCTAATCATTGGAATGACTTAATTTTGCTTTGTTTCAAAGACTGCTACGAAAAGTAGGTTACTCAGGAAGGTTGTTTGCATGAATTGCACTTTATGATTCTTTTTTTGACAAAGGGTTTCACATAGCCCAGGTTGGTCTCAAACTCACAGTAGCCAAGGATGGCCTTGAACTCCTGACCCTCTTGCCTTCACCTCTAAAGGGCGGGGCCTATAGGCATACATTACTGCTACCAGCTCTTTTTTGTTTTTAAATCATTTGACCTAAATACCTGCTCTCAAGAATGTCATCTTGAGACTAATGTGGCAATAGTATCAATATGTTAAGGGAATATTTGGTGGCCTTAAGAAATACTGGGTTTGCCTGGCAGTGGTGGCACACACCTGTAATCCCAGCATTGAGAGTGGCAGGACGATCATGAGTTCAAGCTAGCCTGGGCCGTATGAGACCTGTCTCCACATCCCCAACCCTCAGAAAGAAGTGGCGTGGGTAGCACGTCCGTGCTAAGCACGCTGGTGGAACTGGCCTGGAGTTAGCCCTCTTTCCACCACAGACCTGATGGGCACTGTCGGAGTCCACTGCTTTCCTACCGTTTCATTTTTATGTGTTCTTGCAGGTCATAGGTCTGTTGGACGTGTTTACACCCGCAAGGTCCCTGGAAGAATTCAACGATGTGTGAGTGAATCTTTTGCATTTGTCACCTCAGCTGGAGGGTGGGGATGAGCAGCCCACAGAACTACCCAACAGTATTCAGACTTCAGGAGAGCTTTCTGTCACTCTGGGCTCCTGGGGTGGGGGCGGGGGTGGGGGAGCACAGAAAGTAAATATGGTGTGTGGTGCATTTTAGCACTTTCATCATTTCAGGCACAGTGTGGCTCGTTTAGACTATAATTTTTTTTTCCTAAAATGGCAGTCCACATAGATGTGTCCCTCTCTGATCCCTCATGGGTGGGGGAGGTGACACTGAGGCTATATGTTGATCCTTGAAAGTTTTTGTAATGGGGCATATGGCACACTCTCCAGGTTGGAAAAGATTTCTTCCAGTCTGGTGCTGGAAACTGAGCCTGGGAGTCCCAGGAGCCAGAAGTAGAGAGTCAGGGGAAATAAAACAGGAGAAGGGAGAGGTGTGTTAGTGGCCAGTCACCCTGAAACACCTGGGCCAGAATCTGCCAGGGTGTAGAGAACTAACTCTACAGAATGCACCTCAGAGGGGGGCACTCTTCTGATGGCTCCTGTGGCTTGTCCATTCTTCATGAATGCCTTCACAGGCTGGGTGACATTTGTGAGAGCCAGACAGAAGCCAGCAGGTGTCCTGTGCAAGACCAGCCTCCCCAGCACAGCAGCTTTCCTAGGATGTTTAACTCCCTGTATTATTTTCAACTTGATAGACTGTAGAATCACTGCTGGCCTCTGGGCATGCCTGAGGGATTGTCTTGAGTGAATTAGTAGATGTGGGAAGAGCCGTCTAAATTATGGCTGGGATCGGAGACTGTATAGGGCCGAGAAGAGCAAGCTGAGCAGTATGGTCTTAGCTCTTCTCCAGTTGGTTGCTGGTGCCATGTGGTCAGGTGCCTGTGGCTGTGCCTTCACTCTGATGAACTGTACGCTGTGACTGTGAGCCAGATACAACCTTCTCCCTTAGGTTGCCCTATCCTGCTTTAAAGACACACTGTGCTGTAAGAAAAGAAATACTCGGAGGAGGGATGGGGGTGAGGGGAGGGAGAGGGAGAAGAGACTTTCATGTGAAACAAGCCTGTTCCCTTACTTGAACTAATAAATAAATTTAAAAAAAAAAGAAAGAAAGAAAAATATCTTAAGCACAGTTACACATTTGGTCTTGTTGGGATTCTGGCATTCCTAAGTGGAAAGGATGTTTATTGTAAAAGCAAAACAGAATTGGAAGTCATTGCTGCTCTTCCTGAACTTCCTGTGTTAGTCAGCTTTCTTTCTCTGACACCATGCCTGAAAAAAAATTAGCTTATGTAAAGAGAAAAGAGGTGATTTTTACCTCGTTCTTTTAGAGGTTCCAGGTCATAGTTAGGTGGGCCCATGGCTTTTAGGCTTCTGCTAGAGGCACCAGGTAACAATGGTAGGGAATGTTGGTCTAACAAAAATCACTCATTCTCTGGCTAGAGGGGGACCAGGATTCCAGTTTTCAAAGCCACACCCCTGATGACCTAAGCCGAGTTTTCACTGCTCCTAAGAGCACCCTATGGGGGTTGAGGGTCACTCACCGTCCAGATTATAGCACTTCACACCCAATGCTCCCAGTGCAAAACCAACTTTTCTCCACTGCTTCTCCCACAAAACAAGCAGGCAGATGTTTTCACCTGTGTTACCTTTGTAGAAAAGGGGAAAGGGAAAAAGAAAGGGAGAAGTGAATGGCCACGGTGGGGTAGGAGAGGAGGAGAGGCGTGTTGGCCCGTGAACAAGAGCTCAGCAGCCACATTAACCTGACCCTGCAAATGAGAGTCTAAGAAGCAAATACAGAGAAAGACTGGCAGTAACTAAGAGTGACAGGCTGTTCCCGCAGCCTTGTGTCAGTGCCAGAACAGAGGCTTCCAAGGATTGCCAGAGGCTCCACACATAGCTGAGCACAGACCATGGAGCCCTGCTGCAAGCTGTGGTTGGAAAAGAGACTGTTGTGGAATCTAAATGAGGAACAAATGCTCCTGCAGGGTTTCTGTGACTGACTTTGGAAAACACTGGAGTTGGGTCTGAATTTTAACCTAAGGTTTTTGATGAGGATAGATAAACTTTAACAGAAAAAAAAAAAGATTTATGGACTAGCAAGTATTGTGCTTTGTTTAGTTGAGCATCCTAGAATAGAAAATGGACACTGAAAAGGCCTTAATGATGGCTGTGTCATTTTGAAGGGTTTAATTTTACTGACTGTAGTTTTATCCCCCATAGGGAAGCCCACCAACTACCAGTGTGTCCCCCAAAAACTAAAGTTGCATTGGTGGGTTCAACAATTGCATGACTGTGGCAGGGGCACCTGTTTTCTGTTCACCTCCAGCTGGGCTCTAACCACTCTTGGTTTGTTGTTGTTGTTTTGTTTTTGTTTTTTTCCTGAGACAGGGTTTCTCTGTGTAACACTTTGGCTGTCCTGCAACTTGCTTCATAGACCAGACTGGCCTTGAACTCAGAGATCCACCTGCCTCTGCCTCCCTAGTGCTGGTGCACCACCACCACCTGGCCTATGGGGTTTTTTGTTTTGTTTTGTACATTTTTTATTATTTTATGTGTATGTAAGTGGCTGTGTGTGATCCCTAGTGTCTGTGTACAGCTTGTGCTGGAGCTGTTGGTGGTTGTGAGCCACAGTATGTGTGCTGGGCAAGAGCAGCAGCCTGTATTCTAACTCCTGAGCTCTCCCTCATCCAGCTCTTCTGTGAACTGAGCAAGCAGCTCTTGGGTGCTGCCTGGTGAACACCTCCAAGACAGCTAGAGCATGATCTCCCTGGTAACAGTGGGACCTGAGATTTTGGTTAGGAAAGTGTTTGTTTACCTGCTGACTTTGAGTGATGTTGATAGCAGTCAACAGTTAGCACCTGTCTGTAATCTCCAGTCAGTGTAGAGCACACCCAAGAGAACACACTTCTGCAGTACAATCACAGGGTGAATGTCCCATGTTACTCCTCTGCTGCGTATGCCAGAGCCAGTGTCCACTGAGAGAAAATGGGCAGTCAACAATACAAGCTGGGTACAGAGTAGGCTCTGATTTTGATATGCATTTTCCATGCTAATTAGCAAAAGCTGTAATTGCCTTTCAGGTGTACAGCTGATTTTTGTTTATGTTTTTCCTGTTTGTGCCTTTATGTTTCAGATACAGCTTTTCATTTAATCATATGATTCAGATTTTTGCTTTATCTGTAAGACCATGTATACCTTCAAGAAGGGAACCGTAGATTGTGTGTTTTGTGCGTGACCAGCAACCTGTAGGCACTGGGATGACTTGGGAAATGAGCACATCTAATTTTGACTACTGTATGACGTGGTTGGGCAGGTGGCACATTTTACAGACACACAGACGGGAGATCATTTGAGCCCTTCTCTAGGTGTTCTCAGTTATTGCCTGTACTGTTTGCCAGTGTAGGTTTCATTGGTGTGTATCGTTGCAAATATTTACAAATGCAGAAAGTTTCAGTGGATGGTATTAAAATCAAGTCCAGAAAGAGCTGCTATTTCTCCTAATCATTCTTTTTGTTTGCTTGTTTGTTTTCCCCTATAGCACCAGGTTTTTCCAGGTAGTCTCCCATCCAAGTACTAACTAGGCCTTTAGCTTCCGAGATCGGGTGCGTTCAAGGTGGTATGGCCATAGACCTCCCAACCATTCTTAACCAAGCTGAGTAGGCAGAGAGTTCTAGAACTCTTTTTGGGGACAGTTTTCTCAACTTTGAAAAGAACTCTCTTGTCATGGGTTAAGTGGAAATGAGTCTTCTAAGTCACTTACTCCCTGTTTTATAGCTTCTCAACCCTGATTTCTTACTTTCATTTCTTTGTTTCATTCATTCATTAGAGACAGTGGCTCACTATGTATCTCTAACTGGCCTGGAATTCACAGAGGTCTGCCTTCCTTTGCATTTCTGCTTCACTCTTTATTAGTTTATTTTTGAGATGGGATCTCATGTGTCCCAGGGTGGCTTCAAATTCACTGTGCAGCGAAGGATGGCCTTGAACTCCAGCTTCTCCTGCCTTCTTCTCAGTGCTGGGACAGCAGGCAGGAACCACCATGCCTGGTGTATGCCATGCTGGGCATAGAACCCAGGGCTTCCTGAATGCTAAGCAGTCACTCTGCTTTGTTCATGAAGAGACATGGGGGCTTGTATGCACAGCAGGGTTCTCTGACCCTCTTTGTGATGAAAGCCACTGAGCAGTTGATACTAGGCTGGCCTTGTACCTGTGGAAAGTGCAGTCCCCTGATGAGCTTGAGCGTTCTGGTTCAGTTAGCTAGAACTGAAGACTTCTGGGTTTGCTTTTATGGATTCTATGCAGTGTTTGAATAACTACCTCTGCCAGACAGAGTTCTCATCCTTGAGGAAGATGGCAAATAAACATGGTCTGTAATCATTGAGTTGAGATTATTAATGGAGAAAAGCAAATTTTAAATGAATACATGTTTTGTAGTGTGATAGATTTGGAGAGGCTACCCTCCCCCTATGACCTGGCTCTGCACGATTTGACCTCATGTGACTCACTTTTTACTTGTGTCTCTGTCCTTGTGTTCTTCCTCTAATACAGACAACCAACCATGTCCCCAACAAAACCTCTGCCTGGTCTCCACCATGGCTGAGCTCTCCACAATTGCTGATTGACTCTTTTTCCCTTCAAATCCCATACTAACCAGGGTCTTCTGATCAAAGCTTGTTCCCTGTGCTTCTAGCTGAGCTGTGACCCCCAATCACTGTGTTCCTTGCTCTGCTTGGTTCTTTGCAAATGTTGTCAGCATGTGTTTCTGTTTGCTCCCTTGTAAGTCTGTTAGAGGTTGCTTTCCTGCATTCCGGGGTTGTTAGCATTTGGAGCAGCTGCAGGCCCTGCAGGTATTTGTGGAAGAAATGAATGTAAGAACTATCAGGTATGGCTGCCCACCCTACCCAGCTGTGGAATGTCTCCAGAGAATGCTGTGCAAAATAGTCCCTGAGCTGTTGCTGAGTGGCAGTTGGAGAGACTAAGAA